GACGCACAGCATTGTTCTTCTGGCGGATCTGCTCAGTGGGTCCTCCTCCTCGGGCTCGTTTGCGGACCGACATGATCGACCGGCAGACTGCAGCTTTGAGGATTTCATCGCGGTCCGAGCCCAGCATGTGCAGCCCACCTTGGGCCTCAGACAGGCAATTTCAGGCTCGTGTTTTTCTCTGTCTAATCAAAAATACATTGAATAATTGATGAATCAACACTAGAACTAAACAAATACTTTACTATGTGTTTCCAGAGATCCAAGAGCAGGCGATCGACCGCCTGTGCCGGGGTAAGACCAGCACAGGCATCGTACTGGTAATTCATTATGGAACCCAGGCGCTCGATGGCAGCTTCAGGTGCTGCCAGCAGCCGAGTACGATGATGCAAGCGACCGACATGCCAGCACTTTGGGTCTGTTCTGCATCGACCAACTGTAAACCAAGGATGTGCTTCCAAGGATCTAGCGATTGCCACAGAATCAACCGAGACCTTCATTTCGGTCACAACCACCAAGCGCTTAGCCAAGATACCAGACTTCCTCAGACCGACAATAGATATGGACGCATATATATTGTCAGCAAAGGAAGTCTGGGATCTTGGCTAGGCTGAATCTGAAATGCAGACCGGTGGCAGCACCGCCACGAGTCCCTTTGTGGGAACTATGACCGCCCCTGTCTTTCTGCGTTTCCGTCTGTTTACAGTGAGACTTCCGACCTGCGCGAGTCCTCAGAACTATGATAAGGGAAACACAAACCAAATGCTGTTGCATTCCATTTCCAACAATCATGCAGAACACTCCACTCCAACCTGTATTAATTGATCATGTCTTTACTAATAAATAATTACAACTGAATGAATATTGCAAGCGACCGTCGCTGGCAACCTGGAAAGTCTCATACGCAGACACAGGCAGCTGCTGCTGTTGGTACGATCCCAAACAAAGTGAAACGACAGACGCACAATACAGCTGTCCAGCTCTTGAAGCATAGGGCATTTTCTGCTGCACGATGGCCGCCACAGCGGAGAAGACCATGACCGGCCGCACAGTGCAAGCAGTAACGGAAAACCATGATTTAGCCTCTGCTCTGATGACCGGCGGCACCCGACAGTCCTTCCCAAATGCTGCTGCAAGAACACGAGAAAGGAACAGTCTATATTGTGCCTTCATGTCTTCGACCGGCAAATCCCATCGATGTTCGACACCTTGAAACTCAGGGCCCGTGGGCCAAAGTGTGTGCCTTAGGACCGGCCTGAGTGCCTGATACAGGTTCAGGAAAGCATCTCCGTGCCGAGGTTGGGCTTGACCGCCGATCAACCCTTCCCAGTCAAACGCAATCATTGCATTGGACCGGATCTGCAAGACATCATCATTGACACCGACCGGCCCGAGAATTTGCGACATCTCCTCTGTGGCACGACCGGCGAGGGTCTTTGCACTGTCCAGTGCTTGAATCACATCATGGTGCACGATATAAACCTTCTCTGGGATGACACACCGCGACCGCCATTTGCATACACAACGACCGGCCTGTGCCCAAGTGGATTCTGCGTGTTCGCAACCATCGGTCCGATCCTCCCACAAATGTTGACGAAATCGACGAGCTTCTTGTCTTCCAAGCTGCCGTGTTCGACTACGAAACTGAACACGTGGCTCGTAGAAGTCATCTTGCAACGAAGCTCGACCGTCAGCCCACACCGGCACACGCACCTTGAAGGGTGTGTTTCATGTTTAATGATTTAAGGTTGGGCGGCAGGGGCTTCATCTCTCTGAGACAGACGAAGAGAATGAATGAAGTAACACCAAAACTCCGACCGCCCGACCAGAAAAATCAGCATGTCACGCCTCACGGGTTCCACGTGGTCCATCCCAGTTCACAACTGGCCTCGACCTCGTCTCAGAATATTTCTCCCTGCCCAGACATTGGCAATGTGGGCCCAAGCAATAGTATTCGACCGACGGCTCTCTGCTGGTGTGCAATGTAACCGACGAGAACTCTGGCGGCAGTACATGCATTATCTTCATGATTCCAGGAAGAAACTTTGGCAAAAAGCGACCAGCTGGTGTGTAGCAAAGGGCTGCAAGAAACTGCATGATCTGCTTGCTGGAACAGTGCTGGCGCAACAAGGTGGCGACCGTCACGTAGGTCTTCAGTCTGTCGATGGAGGTGCTTGCTCGTCTGGCGTACTGCAGCGATCTCTCTGCACTTGCTTGCAGTTTTGAAGGTTCGACCGCCTTTTGGGCCAACTGAGAAAAAGCTTCGAAGGCGACCGGCATGAAGTTTTCCAAGAAAGATAGGAACACCACAAAGCTCACGTCTGTCAAACGGCGACCGACGTCCATCAAATTTCTCAGACTTCGGGCTCCATGCTTTTGCTGCTTCCAAGCCAGTCTTGCATGCATAGCGGTGACGACCGGCCTGAAATTCTTCAAAAGCGACAAACGGAAAAATACAAACATCCGTGTTCCGCCAGGTGCTCCCAGGGTGCCGACCGGCTCACCAATTTGTTTCGAAACTCCTCGCAGCAAGGCCCGACCGTCGCCCATGAAAAAGGTCTTGTCCAAAACAGATACGATGTCCATAACTTCTGTAGCTGCATCGACAGACTTGATTGCCCGATCCAGTGCGGTTTGTTCCTTCGTAGTTCGACCAACAGTGTGTACATATTACAATTGAACATATCGTTTGATTATCACAAGTATTGCTTTGTAGCTATGCTTCACGGTGCATCAGGCCCCAGTCCGTCATGACCGGCACAGGGTCTCCATCCCAAACAGAATTGAAAACTTCAGACCATATCAGTTCCGCCGAAGCTGTGCTCTTGTGCCGAGCCAACCGACCACCCATGGCATTGGCGCCATCGCCGACAACCATGGCTAAAGATGCCGCCAGTGACCGGCTGCTAAAATGGGCAGGGTGCTCCTCCAGAATCTCCAACGCGACCTTCTTCAATTGTGGGCCTGCATGATCACCGACACCCAAAGTCTTCCCGCCAACCATCGGTGTGTAAGCACGACCTGTGGCAAATTATTAGTTGTTAATTTATTCTGTGAAAAAAATAGATAGAAGACACAAAGGTGACCGGCTAGTGCCATGATGCTTTGGACATGAAGAAGAAGCCTGTGCTTTGGCTCACGACCGACAGTCCGACCAGCAACACATTGTCCCGCTTCAGCATTTGTTCTTTGCCAATGGAGATGGAGTCCAACATGACACCTTGCTTAGTGAGATGAGCCACATCACTGATTCACACACACACAGTTGCAGCATCGACTGTCTAATCTGGCGGCAAAGCACAGAAGTCGCTGGGAATGCCTAGGCCAACGACCAGCCGTTGAAAATCCATCGCATCCAAATTCTGCAATGCCCTGGCGGCATAGAACTCCACCTCGCGGCAGAACGACCGGCTGCAAGGCCAATGGCCCAATTGCACTCCACGCCGGCGGTTCCTCTCGGCATCTCTTTCAAAAGAGAGGAAGGACCGGCCTTCGGATGCGTTGGAAAGGCAAATGTCGACTACTGTGTCCAGTGACAGCTCCTTGTCGACCGACACGGCCTTCTGTTTCCTTTGTATACCCTCCTTCTCTTTCTCTTTGAGCTTCTCGCGTTCAAACTCTTCAAGCTTCGACCGGCTCTGCATGGATCGTTCTACGCTGGTGGTTCCCAAACCCAATAGAGCTGCTGCTACCCTTTCGACCAGTGATTTGCCAGCAAACTTCCTTTCAGGCAGCAGTTATTGTATTGAATCAATTACTTAAATTAGTTAACTGAAATAATTTTGCAGATGATAATTGATAAACCTATAAAATATTGGATTTGGAAGACCCAGCCTGACCGGCATGTATTTCATCACGGCCGACAAGACGTCTTTCGGGCAGCGCTGAAGGTTGGTCATGACATTGACCGACAAAACTTGGCCTTGGCCTTGCAAGGCAGCATGTCTGTCCACGAACGTACCACAGTTCTCCCCTGGTCGCCAAAGGCGACCGTCGACTTCATCTTCGACCGGCATTTCGGCTTCGCTGTCAGAAACACTGGGTTCGGATGCAGCATCGGCTGACGAGGAATCAAAGTTTTGTGTGCAAGCGACCGACTCGGAGGTTTCTGACCTTAAAGAAGGCACAAACTCCTCGTCAGACATGGCTCCGTCAGACATGGCTCTTATGGATGGCGATCAACTCTACCCCAGCAAAGGTTCATGGGTTGCGTTTTGGGTGAGGTGTGCTGGCCAAACTGCTTTACTGATTCCTGATGTCTGTCAGTTCTGGAGAATGAGATGACGTCCAGGCACAGTTGCATAAAGCACTTCGGTTGCCTGTCTGACAAACACTGGGAAGCCCTGGCTGGGTGACTGACTGAGAAACTGTGCAAAGTCCAAGAACACTTTTCTCAGCTTCACCTTTCACATCTCACAATACGGCTCTTAGTCTCAATGTGATGGATGCTGGGACCCTGGCAAGGCCTTGGCGACCGGCTGGCATGATGCGCGAAGTCAAGAACATTTTGTGCACCTCCAGTCTGATACTGGCTCTTGAATTGTCCTCTCTGCAAGTGTTGCCAGTTGAATGAAAAGCTTCTGGGCAAATAGCGGGGATGGAACTGCTCTCCACTGTCATCGGACAGAGAACCTGAGCAGGGTGAAATGACATTTGTGGTGTCATCATCAGAATCAGAATCGACACATCTTCCACCATGAACCATTTTTCTGATGCTGCCACAGAGCCCCAGACCGTCGGACGAATCAGCAAAACTCCACAAAGTGTCAAAACAATTCTGTCGACGGGTTATCCCCGATGGCAGAGTCGACCGTCGGACGAATCAGCAAAACTCCACAAAGTGTGCACACAATTGTGTCGACGGGTTATCCCTGATGGCAGAGTCGACCGTCGGACGACGAATCAGCAAAAAATCCGCGTGAAGTGGGAAAACAATTCTGTCGACGGGTTATCCCCGATGGCAGACTTAACATGCGGATAGTTATAGTTGTCAGCGACCGACTTCAGTGACCGACTTCGCGACCGACAAGCAAGCCGAGATGTCCCGGCTTGCCGGGAATGATCAGCTGTTTGTCGATCACTAGGCAAGCTTTGACCGGCGTGAGACTCCCTTTGCTGCCATTTTTCATCACCCACCTCCAAGAAGCATCCGTGGCCTTGTTGAGCTGGGCCATCACGACCGACGCGTCATCTCCTGGAACCCAAACCATCGGCTGGTTAGGTTTCAGACCGGCCGATGGGAGGGAACCTTGGGTGAAGGAAGGCGGGATGTGCTCCCAAACGGAGTTCGACTTGAGGCTGGCGACCGCGTCTGCGACCGTCACTTGCTTCCCATTGACAATGACCTTGTCCTTCGAAGCGGTCAGCTTGTACTCCAGACCGACAGCACTGGAGTTTTTGCGGAAACGACCGGCGCTGCAATCCAGAGTGACACAATTGTGCCTGGAGGCAGCCTCTTGTTGGTGGAGGTTCCGACCGGCAAAAGGATCCTCAAGTTCTGCAAGTCCAAGCGAAACGTGGCATCACCCACGATGAAATTGGCGACCGACGCAGGGTTCAGCTCCGGCTCCGGGGCTGTTACATCAGCTTTGACGACCGGCGGCGAAGTCTCAGCTGCAGCAGACGGGGCTGGCTTGTCGACCGGCACTGGACCAGTAGCGGGAGCCGGAGTGACCGGAGCCGGTGCGACCGGCGAAGGCTTGGCCTTGGCCTCTGAGGTTCGGGTTTTTTTGCCAGCTGGCTCCACTGTTGTCTCTTCCTTGACCGGCGGCTCATTCACAGGCTCCTGAAACCACTTATCCATGAACTGCTTCTTGCTGGCAGCGAGCTCGACCGGCGTGGCTTGTGACCTGTCAGAGTAATAATAAACGTGCTGCATCAGCAAGCAATGGACTCGACAGCAACCTAACTATCGCAGCCAGGTGGCGGATCATAGTCTGGACCCAGGTCGACCGACACGACCGACTTTGCAGCAATGCCACACCCATTCCGTGTCTTGACGACCAATGCGATGAGACCGTCAGAGGCGCCCTGGCTGATGTCAAAGTTGAAGGCCGCGTTTGCTCGCTTTGCGGCTTTACTGAGCGGGGCGACGTGGCTAGCAGCCCCAATTAACAGTGACCAGACCGACGAGGAGCGATCCTCTGTCAAACCGACGCAGTCCGTCCTGAGCACAGGATTCTTGGCGAGGTTCACTTTGTCGGAGTTCACGACCGACAAGAGGCTTGCCATGTTGTCGAAATGCAAAGCACTGCATGTGCATATCAAGTCCCCCTCCTTTTTAGGGACAGTCGTGATGAGTGCAACATGACCGTCGATGACCGACAATCCCAGGTCATACTTGACCAGCTCCTCATGTGTGAGATCGTTGCATTTCTTCTCCATGTCATTGTAGTTGGCAACCGACTTGTTGATACCTCAGCTCGGAATTGCACACGTCCTATCATAATCGATCAATGCATGACATGAAGGTCAGTCAGAACTCAAGCCAAAACACCATTTCGCCAGGTGCTCTCGACCGGAATCTCCAACAGCTTGAACACTGAGCCCTCTGCTGCATAGGGGTTAAAGACCGGCACACACGGGATGTCTGTCACCTTGCGCTTCAAGTTCAATGACCGGCTAGCTTCATCCAGTTTCAGGGCGGTGCACATGTCGTCGAGCAAGACTCGGCCATGTGCCATGGAGTGCCTGAGCTTAACATGCATTCCTGCGAAAAGCTTTTGGTTGACACACGGTTCATGCTTTGTCGGCAAGATGCTCGACCGGCCCACGAACCATACCTATGACTGTGGAGACGACCGACTGGACCCCAACGAAGATGGAAGGATGGGCTGTGCGTGTGGAGACCGCCATCCACCTGCACTGATCACCACGGAAGACTTCTCGCACGACCGACGCATGGTGATCCCAGCATTTGGCCACCAACCACAAATCCACAGGATACTTCTTGTCGACGGACGCTTCGACCGCCTGTGTGTCAGGACCGGCTTCCTCTGTGGTGTCCAACGTCTTGCTATCCTCTGGCTGCTCTTGGTCACTGACCGGCAACTCCTCCCAGATTCAGTAAAGTGATTGATGACGTCCACATCAAACCCTGAACTGCACCTGGACTGCACCTGAACTGCACCTGAATGGCACCAATATAGAAAACCTCATCACCTGAACTGCACCTGAACTGCACCTGAACTGCACCTGACCTGCACCTGCCGCCCTGCCCCCCACAAAGGTCCTCTGTGGGATGGGCCGGCATGTCTGTCATGGGTTTGCACGGCCTGAGCTTGCCTCAGTAGGAGTGTGGGTTAGTGTGGGCAGTGGGGCCATTAGTCTAGTTTCAAGGATTCTTTTAATTTAATTCAAAGGCACAATTGTAGTCGGTGCAGCGCATCTGTAACTTCTCATAGGCAAATGACCGGCATTTGTTGACAGTCACATGGATCGGCACCACCTCCTTCGCAGAGACCGACAACTCCGACTGTGAATAGACCATGTAAGTCGGTCGACGATTCCGGGACTGTTCTGGACCGGCAGTGAAGGTGATGACGTACGCCTCACGGTTTGGGATCATCGTCTGCAGCTGGTTCCTTAGCTGTAGTGTTGCATCGACCGACCAATTGGATTGTCGCACCCCAAAACTTGCACTGACCACGATTGCCACTGCAGATGCTTTAAATCTTTTTTTGGCTTCCTGCATGCCCCTTCACACAGAAATTTGACACCCGACGACTGGCGGTTCAACGACCAGCGTGGTGTCTGTACTTCTCTTCTGCAGCAATAATGAAAAGCCTCAGCTGCTGTCGCTCGTTCGGCAGCTTTTTCAAGAAAGCTCTTATGTCTTCTTGAGCGCCAGAGACGACCGGCACGTTCTTATCAATTCGGGAATTGATGAAGGACATGTCATACAGCACCTTCACTGTGACAAACAAATGACACAGTGTCGATGTTGTGAAGATCTCAAACAAGAGACACCCGACCGCCCAAAGATCAGCTGTGGGTGCCAACCTCACCCTTACAGCAAAGCTACGACCGGGTTCCTGTGACCCGCTAAGCTCCGGAGGTCTGTACGCTGCAGAGTACACCTCGTCACCATAGACAGCTGTCCCGACCGGCTCAGTGAGGCCGAAGTCTGCCCTGCCCAGCGGGCTCGAACATGGGGGGCAGGACCGACAAGTATGTTCTGTGGCTTCACATCACAGTGCACAAGCTTGTGACAGTGCAGATACTGGAGTCCATGTGCAAGATCGACCATCAGATGCCATTTGTGTGGGCACTTTGCGGCCTTGGGCTGCGTCTTCAGCCAAGCGTCCAATGTCACCGGCACATACTCCAAAAGAAGGCCCACGAGACCTCCGTCGACCGACATGACTGGCCCATAACAATGCAGGATGGTTGGGTGGCGTAGACTGAGGAGAACGTCTAGCTCCCTCTTCACGTCCCTGCTGCCGACCGGCAACCTCGACATGACAAGATGCAGCACTAAACCCAAAGTCGACAAAGACATCATTCGTTCATTCATTCATGATTGTTCAATCACATGAACCTTAATAATAAAATGAATAGCCAAGATGCTTCACTGCGAACTCCGTTCCCATCAAGTTTTCACAGCGGCAAACTGTGCCATGGGCGCCTTGTCCCAGGGTCGACCGACTGGAAAGTGCCATGCCTTCAAAGGAGAACCTCAATTCATTGACGAGGTTCTCATCGACCGGTGGCTGCTGGTCACTATCATTCTCAGGCTTCGGGTCTCTGACCGGCGAGTCGACTTCCACTGGAGGATGAGCGAGCTCCCTCTTGAGGGCGTTGTGCTTTCTGTGATCCTTGACCGCCGCGTCCACAAAGGGTTGTTTCTCCTTTTTTGACATCTGCTTCCATCGCGACCGGCTCTGATCTAAGTTTTTCAAGAAGGTTTTGACTCGAAGGCGCTTCAATGGAGGGTCGACCGTCCCTGTCCTGGCGCCCGTCGCACAGTAACGGGCATAGGGCCCTGCCACCCTCTTCAGCCCGAGGCTTTTGTTACTGATTCGACCCATGAAGGTCGACCGGCCGTTTTGGACTTGAGCCGAAGCAACGCTGAGCACAGCAGTCGACCGACAAGTCTAGAAAGATATCTGTGCCATCCAAGGTTCACGACCAACGTCACTAAGTCGTGGCGCTTTCCACAGAAGATGCCCATGGACACGTATTGCCGATCTACGACCGACGTGACGACCTTCCACAACTCTGCCATGTCCCCCAAAATGATCTTGGCCTTCGACGTGGCCTCATCGATGTAAATGCCGCCACGGGTCGTCGCCCGGCATAGACCGACGAAGCCATCACCAAAGGTCTTCATGTCATGAAACAGATGAATGTTGGAGCGGACCGACAAGCCGAGCTCCTCAGCTTTTTCAAGAACAGGATCCTTCTCCACCAGTGGGGCCTCCATCGTGATGTCGTCAGCCAAGATCCCAGACTCGTCGTCTCCCCCCTCAACGACCAGCTTGTGCTCTGTGACCGTTGCTTTGGCCGCATCCACAGCACTTTCGGCTTCATCCACTGCACGACCAGCGGCCAGATTCTTCAACCCTTGGAGGACCGACACACACTCAGGGATGCCACTGCCCTCGATCTTCGGGTCACCAGACAGACCGACGCCAAGACGCATGCACGTCCTTGGCAACCCCATCACCAAAATAATGAGACATGGCACTGAATGTCAGTTATAGTTCATAGTGCTAGCAAGCCTCAAAATGCGCGACCGTCCACGCTCACTCCACAGCATCTTCTGACAGCGGTCATACGCTGGTAGGCGGCTCACGACCGACGAGTACTTCTTCATGACCAACTGACACCACAACGGTGCCTTCAACATTGGGGCACAAAAGTCAGACATGAAGGTCGGTATGGAAGAGACCGTCCCGCGACCGTCACAGAAGTCATAGAAAAGCTGCAGAGCAGCAATCTGCTGCTCGGGTTCCAGGAGGAAGCCTGAGCCAACTGCATTCCGCGACCAACAATGCAGGGAAACCTAACAGCATGGCATGCCGCCGAGTTACGTGTCTCTTCTCCTTGACCGACGAAGTACTTGTTCGTGAAAACAAGTCCCTGTGGCAGGTCGGGCTTCTCCTTCAGCTTGATCAGGACCGGCTCTTTTAACACTGCAGTCGCTTTGCACCAGTTGTGGATTGTTGACCGGCGTGACTTGCCCAAAATTTCCACCATGGCGTTCTCGGCGTCCTCACAGATGAGACTCAGGGCCAGCAACAAAAACAGGTGGTCGACCGACTGTCCTTTATCAGACCGCCAGGAACTTTGGCGACATAAGCACGCACAAGTTTGATCTTGTGCTCGACCGACGTCGTCCGCAACTTGTTGGCATCCTGCTCATGGGCCATGGTGTAGAAGAGCTTGACCGCCGCCTGACACAGGAGTAACTAGTGACCGTCATGAGTGTCTAGTCATACTGCACATCCCTGGCCTCATCATCATCCGAGAATTTGATGCAATCAAAACGCATTCCGACCGTCAGAATGTCCTTGATCTCACCTGTGTACCACTCGAGCTGCGTTGCATCATCGGACTGAGCGACCGTCTCAGCAGCTTTCCTCGGTCAGAAAGTAATTTAAAATTAAGGGAAATGAAAACCGTGGACTTCGACCGACTCTTTTCTGACCAGCTGACAAACCAGTGCACACCAGAACGTGGAATTGGACCGACAAACTACACGTCGTCAAGTATCTTCAACGCTGCGATACAGTGCTTGCCATCTGCCAGCTTCGACCGGCCATCAGATGCGGCCATAGGACGACCAGCAGGATCATACCTGCGAAACCCAAGAGTGAACTACCAAGCACGAGAAAATAAACTTTTCGACTGGCCTCAGCTTCGGTCGGGACAACGAAGCCTGGCCCCAACGACCGGCCAAAATCACCTCCTCATACAACTCCAGGACACGATCCTCATCGACGTCCCGATGGCCGGAATCATGGGCGACCGACACGTCGTCAAGCTTTAAGAGCTTGCTCTCCACGTAGACCGGCGCGTAAGCAGGAGTGCCTGCTTTCTTGGACATGGCTCGACCGGCCGACTTGGTTCGGAACCCCGAGGATCGGTTGCTAAGGCTTGTAAGCCCAAACTCCAGGTAGGCAACGGCACGACCGACACTCAGAGATGTGCTTCCAAGATCATCGACCGGCCTGCCGATGTTGAACCCACAAGATAGGCCCACAAGGCTTAGCAACCTATTCTGCTGGTTCAACTGGAAGAGCATGCACGACCGGCTAAGGTGCTGCAACATATGTGTCAGAGTGGGACCGACCTAGGACGATGCAGCACTAGACCGACTTTAACCCCCAAGATAGGACCACAAGCCTTAGCAAAGCATCCTTTGGGTTCAACTTAGTGAAGGCATGTATTCAACCTTGGAGGTCATCTCTGGCTCGGGCTGTCGACCGATGTCTGAACTGGTAACTTGGGGCTACAAGCCTTAGCAACCGATCCTGGGGGTTCCGAACCAAATGCAGCCCAGAGTGGATTCCAAAGCATGTGCCATGCGCTGGAATGCACCATGGACCGCCAGGCTGGCATGCATTGTGCTACCAAGTCAACAACTTGACTACATGACAGAACCAACAGGTAACAAACAAAGTCAGGTATGCTGCACTCAATCTCGAACACTAAGTCGACTGGCATGCCCTCTCACGTGCTTCACATTTTAAACACATGTCTCGCTGGCTGCTGAAACCGACAGACGACTGTGGCTCTATGCACACATGGCATGGCCGACAGCTGGCAGGACAGGCTGCATCTGGCATTCAGAAAACACTATCGTCATGATCATGGTCTGTCATTATTTGACCGACAACTGCCAGGGCCAGCCTGCCTGCTAGAGTGAGGAAAAAGGCCTTTGACTCGACCGGCGTGGTGGACATCAGCTAGACTCAGCGACCTGGTCCATGACGAGCGGCTGCTTTGTCTTGCCTGCAACATCTTCCTCGACCGACTCCATGACGAGTGGCTGCTTTGTCTTGCCCGCCAGATCCTCGACCGACACCGTTGTCTTGCCCGCCAGATCCACGACCGACTCTTTGGCGAGCATCTCATCCATTTCTGCGACCAGCTTCTTCTGTATCGCGAGCAGAGTTGACGACCGACTGTTCAGCTCCTCCAACTCTTTATCGTTCTGGTACATGTATTCTTTCAGCGTCTCGAGGTTCTTTAACTTCACGAAGTCACCGACCGGCACCTTGTTGCTGAACTGAACCATGACCTTGTACTCCGCGGCGACCGACTCAACGCCCATCTGGGGAAGCGTCGGCGCGTAGTAGTAGTCCTGAGCAGACAGCTTATGCTGTAGATTGCAACTGCAGGATTAGAAATCATGCAACTGCAACATCACTGAATCGAATGCCACCAAAGCACACAGACCGGCGACATGCTTTCATCATAGTGAAGGAGTCCAGCTGGAAGCATGCCCACTCCATAGTAGCTCAGCCGCACATCGACCGCCGTGCCGCCACCTGCCAGCCAACACATCAGCGCAGCCTTCGTCGGGTTACTGAAATACATATATCCAGTGCCACCCCGACCGACTGTGGAGGAAGGCCGCTTTTGCCCTCGGGGCTTGTTGATGCTGTTGGCCAGCAGCTTCTTCACGACCGACAGCTCCGTCACATCATCGGAGATCTTGTAGAACACGAAAGCAGGCTTGTCGACCGGCACGTCACTTGGCAACGCCTCCACCTCGAGGCGGGCGTCCATGCGTGTGACTTTGAGGTGCTTCTCGACCGACAAGTCGAGGTTCCTCACGACGAAGCCGTCGTTGGTGCATGGTCTGACCGACCCTTGTTCCATAGCCAGTTGGAACTCATCGACCTGCACTTCCAGCACGACCACGAACCGGGTCAACAGAAGTTTGACCTCATCTTCCCGACCGGCGTTATCAGTAACACACATGATTGTGCCCTCAGCCGAAACACGATGGGCCTGCTCCTTGTGCTTCGACCGTTGGTACATCGGCCCCGGAATGGGATCCGTGTCGGAAAGCTGGTATTGCATCCTGACCGACCGGGCAGTTCAGAACTAAGGACGACCTACACTACTGCATCCTCGCTGGTCATGATAAATGAACTGAAACACAGCAGCAAGGCACCTGCGACCGACACCAGCGATAGCCTTATAGACAGCGACCGATGGGGAGAAATAGGCCTGGACGTCGGGAACTGGGTTCCAGAGCCAGTGCTCCCACTGGTCGACCGACAGTCCGACATAACCTGTCTTGGCCATAGCGACGGGGCGTGGGGCCGGCAAGTCTCGTGAAGCTGAAATTGCTTTGTGGCATGGCAGGCATCATAGACATAGACCGACTGTGACTGTGCCCAACAACTGCAGATAACCAATGAGGACCAGGCCAACCGGCACCCGCTGATCAGACATCATAGAGCTGGAGTCCAGTTCTATGGTGTCTGACCAGATGGTGATGGTAGGCGACCGACCTTGGCAAATATGAATCATGAAGTCATAGCTAGTTACAGTATCCAAAGCACGCTGCCCACGCATGTGTCTGAGAACACCACCGGCAAGGAAAGTAGATCTGCTTCTGTCTGGACCTCAATACTTAAGGTGACTGGGATCTCAAATTGGCATGGACCTGTTACTGCTACAGGAGCCCGACCTCCCAGAGCATCCAAGGAGCTCCTCAACCCTTCGTCGGCGCCACTCAGCCAGTCGTAGTTCGACTGGCTGAGCGGTGCCGACGAAGGGTTGAGGACACCTGTCGGTAGCTCTCCTCGACCGGCAACACTTCCTGACCAGGTGTTGCTAAGTCAATCATTACAGCAGTGTCCAGCATTATTGAATGCTGATCGACACTGAGGCCTGTACCCTGAGCCATGAAGATTTACATTGGGTGGTCTGGGAGGTGATAGACCTTGAGCGAACACACACATAACACTTTCGAAAGTACACTGCCCACGCATGTGTCTGAGAACACCACCGGCAAAGAAAGTAGATCTGCTTCTGCCTGGACCTCAATACTTAAGGTGACTGGGATCTCAAATTGGCATGGACCTGTTACTGCTACAGGAGCCCGACCTCCCAGAGCATCCAAGGAGCTCCTCAACCCTTCGTCGGCGCCACTCAGCCAGTCGTAGTTCGACTGGCTGAGCGGTGCCGACGAAGGGTTGAGGACACCTGTCGATAGCTCTCCTCGACCGGCAACACTTCCTGACCAGGTGTTGCTAAGTCAATCATTACAGCAGTGTCCAGCATTATTGAATGCTGACCGACACTGAGGCCTGTACCCTGAGCCATGAAGATTTAGATTGGGTGGTCTGGGAGGTGATAGACCTGGACTGAAAATTTCAATCCAGGTCTATGCCTCCCAGAGCACCCGAGGAGCTCGACCGGCAACACTTCCTGACCAGGTGTCGCCAAGATGTGGCAGAGAAGCTTTATGGATCAATCGGAGCACCTTGGCTTAAATATATATATATATATGTTGCAAGATAGTGACTGTCACTATCACTAGAGCCGATGTATTTAAGCCAAAACTGTGTGATGCTATGGGCAGGGACCGGCCAAGTAGTCTTACTCTGACCAGACCAGAGATCCTGGTAAGTTCATTCGTGTCTTTTTTGTGTAATACAGCATACCTTTTACTATTTTATGATTTGTATACCTCACATATGGTTGTGCAGCATCACCACACCTGAACTGCACCTGAACTGCACCTGAACTGCACCAATCTATAATAGCACGAACGCTGAACTGCACCTGAACTGCACCTCAACTGCACCTGAACTGCACCAGCATTATCCATGTTCATGGTTTCCCCCAGAAAGAATAAACAGAACAGACCGGCTAGTAGACCTTCTTGAATAATTAATTCCTACTAAGGGATATAGGTAAACTTATAGGGCTCTGTCTATTATTTCTAAAAAGGACAAGCGTGAACTGCACTGGAACCTTTGTGAATCAAAGCATCAAACCCAGCAGTCCTCCTGGACTGTGTCAGACCGTCGCTCAGCCGAGGCCATTGGGGGATCTTGTCATTTTGACGAGATCCCCCGATGGCCTCGGCTAGCCTGGCTCAAGGTGCCAAACAATGCATCTTGACTTGGCTCTGTGATCCTCAGATGAAACGTTGACTTAGTGCTGGACGACCGACTCGTCGCCGGGCCGGCCTGCCACGTCGGTGGTCTGTCCAGCGGTCTGATTTATTTATGATTACACCTCACGAATCCGCCTCATGCGGGACACTGACCGGCCCCATGTGAAGCTCTCGCCTTGGAGCAAAAAGTAGACAGGTAAATACCGGAACACCCACTGCATCCAGGGATGTAGCAGGTCATGAAGATGTTGCCGAAAGCCTGTCCACGGGAAAATGCATCATTGCTGTAAACAAATGAGGTGGCACCCATGATGCATGAGCTGCACTTGTTTTGCCATCATTGCACGACCGTCGGTTTCTGCTCTGATCCGAGTCGATTCGAGCTGAAGACGGGACCGGCCATGGTAGGTTCTCATTTGAAGAGCTGAATTCTGAATGTGTCCATTAATGGCAACTCAATGAGAAGTGTTGCATAGTTTCATTGACTAAGTCGGTATATTAAGACTTGACTGACTGACTTAACTTATTCCAAACAAATCTAAACCGAAGCTGCCCCGTCTTCTGCGACTGTCGGTCCCGCAAGAGCTGTCGCAAACGACGACACGACAGAAAAAACAGGCGACCGACTCTTGCTGGAGGTCACGGTCACGACCCCATTGTTGCAGCTCCCATCAGGGATCCTGTGAACGTCAGGTGTTTGTGGAACTTGACAGTCAACATGACATGAACGCAAACACACACACACACACACACACACACAGTCGGAAGTCCTGCTGATGACCGTCTTGTGGCTGGTCCTCCGATGTTGAAGCACAGCTGTGACAGTGATTGCACTCTGACTACTCGTGTCTCTTGACCCCAGCTTCCAATCCAAGTGGAGACCTCCCTCGCAATGCAATCTTATACTTATGTGTCCCCGACGACCAGCAGTACAAACACATGTTCAGGAGTCCTACTGGTGTTGGAAGGGATCTGCTCTCCCATCGTCCTGCAGGTCCAAGATTCAAATTAAACAGCCTACACTACTCTTAAACTCTGGACGCGTTCACAAGTCCTGGCCATGACCGTCTTGACCTCTTCCCTCCTGCAACATTCATTGTTTAGTCAGCGGAAGTTCCTCCGCTGCCACATGACTCTAGCACTATACAGCTTGACAGCAAGTTGTCCTGTTGCTCATCTCCATGATCCTCGCTGTTGGGCCGCACTTTGAAGAGGCTAGACTACACCGTGACTAGAAGACCTTGCCAGCTACAGAATCATGTCATGAGCAACGAGTCCTGGTGTGAAGCTTGATCTGCGGGTCGTCCCGGACCGACGTCCTTCGATTAGATCAACCAACTGTGTGATCTTCACTCTGTGCACAAAGAAACGTTCATGTGCCCTGCGACTCAGCCTGCCCATCACGTTGTCCCCAGCTTCCATCCTTCGAGGCAATGCAATCCACACTGAAATTGGGTGACTGACACCCTGCACAAGTCCTGGTGTGAAGGCTGACCGGTGAAGCTTCCGTCCTTCGATGCAATCTAATTAATTATTTATTAATCCACACTCAAACTGTGTGAGACCCTGCACGAGTCCTGCTGTGATGTGCGACCGTCGCCTTGGCCCCAGGTATCCCAGTTTCCGTCCTTCGACGGAGTTCTCTGATACAGACAGAACTATTCAGAAGTCCTGCCGCCAAGCCTGACCGGCGCGTTGCCCCCAGGCCGAGCTTCCCCAACCGTCCTACTGGTCAAGCCACTGAAGCAACATTCTCCCAGAAAGACATGTTTGCAAGTCCTGCTGCGTAGCCTGACCGTCGCCTTGTCCCCAGCTTGGATCCTTCGACTCGAAGCTATCAGTTATCCACTAGTGACAAAAGTGACAAAGGAATCCTGAACGAGTCCTGCTGTGATGGCTGACCGTCGCCTTGGCCCCAGGCATCCCAGGTTGAGTCCTTGGATTGGATGGAGTTGTCTGAAAAAGAACTCTTGAGAAGTCCTGCCACGAAGCCTGACCGCCGCTTTGCCCCCAGGCCATGCTTCCCCACGTTTGGTCCTACGGCTCAATCAATGAATCCTCTGAAAACAATCTGCTACAAAGGCACGTTCACGGGTCCTGCTGCGAAGCCTGACCGTTGTCTTGTCCCCAGCTTCCATCCTTCAGTGCAACCCAGAGATTCTGTGACAAGGAAGCAATCACGCATGAGTCCTGCTGTGATGTGCCACCGTCACCTCCCCAGCTTCCATCCTTCGGTGCAATCCAGAGATTCTGTGACAAGGAAGCAATAATCATGCATGAGTCCTGCTGTGATGTGCGACCGTCGCCTTGGCCCCAGCTTCCATCCTTCCGTGCAATCCAGAGATTCTGTGACAAGGAAGCAATCACGCATGAGTCCAGCTGTGATGTGCCACCGTCACCTTGGCCCCAGCTTCCATCCTTCCGTGCAATCCAGAGATTCTGTGACAAGGAAGCAATCACGCATGAGTCCTGCTGTGATGTCCCACCGTCACCTTGGCCCCAAGTTCCATCCTTCGGTGCAATCCAGAGGTTCTGTGACACACGGAAACAATCATGCATGAGTCCTGCTGTGATGTGCGACCGTCGCCTTGGCCCCAGGTATCCCAGTTTCCGTCCTTCGACGGAGTTCTCTGATAACATAACATTCTGCTAGAAAGACATGGTTGCAAGTCCTGCTGCGTAGCCTGACCATCACCTTGTCCCCAGCTTGGATCCTTCGATTCGAAGCTATCAGTTATCCACTAGTGACAAAAGTGACAAAGGAATCCTGAACGAGTCCTGCTGCTGTGATGGCTGACCGTCGCCTTGGCCCCAGGCATCCCAGGTTGAGTCCTTGGATTGGATGGAGTTGTCTGAAAAAGAACTCTTGAGAAGTCCTGCCACGAAGCCTGACCGGCGCCTTGCCCCCAGGCCATGCTTCCCCACGTTTGGTCCTACGGTTCAATGAGTCAATATAAAGGCACGTTCATGGGTCCTGCTGCGAAGCCTGATTGTTGAAGTATCCCCAGCTTCGAGCCGAAGCCCGACCGTCACCTCGTCCCCAGCTTGCATCCTTCGCTGCAATGCAATGATCCACTGTGAAATTTAGTGAGTGTTCAAAAGAAACCTGAACGAGTCCTGCTGTGATGGCTGACCGTCGCCTTGGCCCCAGGAATCCCAGGTTGCGTCCTCGGATTGGGTGGAGTTGTCTCAAAAAGAACTCTTGAGAAGTCCTGCCACGAAGCCCGGCCGCCGCTTTGTCCCCAGGCCATGCTTCCCCAGGTTCCGTCCTGTGGTTCAATACACTGTGCATTCATTTCTTTGCCACACAAGCACATTCACGTGTCCTGCTGCGTAGCCTGACCGTCGCCTTGGCCCCAGCTTCCATCCTTCGGTGCAATCCAGTCTGAAATTCTGTGGCACATCACAAGGAGCATTAATCACGCATGAGTCCTGTTGTGAAGCAGGACCGTCGCCTGGGCCCGAGCTGTCCTTCGATGCAATCCAGGATTTGTGTGTGATTGAAACCAACTGACGGTGAATTGATCATGAGTCCTGCTGCGGAGCTTGGTTGCCTCCCCTGCTACCGTCAGCACGGCCTTGCTCCTGGCATTGTGAGAATGCGCACACCACACATAACAAAACGACTTGATCTGTGATTGACGAGTTGCTGTGGATCCGTCGTCGCTGGCCGGCGGATCTGGTGGGCCCCTTGGCTTGGCTGGACGTAGCAAATTGATAAAATGCACATGCTCGCATGATATTAATAGAAGCAGCCAGCAGAGTTATAAATATTATATCTAAAATAATTTTAAAGATGAGTTTGTTATTTGCCGGCAAACGACGCTTTGGGTACGGGCGGGGCCTGACCGGCAGGTGGTCTGCTCATTTGCTCTTGGTGGACCCGTAACATCGCTGCAATGATGTCTTCCCCGCTCTGCCGGACCGTCGGCAATGTGCTTGCCTGGCAGGACAAGTGATTATGATACACTCCTGCAAACAACCACACAACACAATGACAGAATGTCAAGCCTGGGGAGGGTCCGGATGCGGACGTGGATCCCGACGCGGAGGTGGCCCCTGGCTGGCCGACCGGCGTCTGGCTGCCTGAGCCTGACACACTGGCAGAATGTTTCGTTATTGATCTGAACCCATTCAGTCCGGCCTCCTGCCGGCAACCCTCGGACTGGAAGAAGATATCGCCGACCGACGTGCTGTCTTGGCCGTGTCTACTGTGGTAGTACGACCGGCTCGCGTTGTCGCCCAGCCGCCACTCCACATCACGCATCAAGAGATGCATCTTTTCGCGGGTGTTAGCCGCGATGACACGGTCGGGCGACCACCTGACTGAATCAATCAGACCGGCACACTGACACCAAGAGCTTCATTTCAAATCAACTCACCACATTGCAGGCAAGCTGCCAGATCGGTGGGACCGCCATATCCCACGACAAAGCGTGGCGGCGCAACCGGAAGACGATCATGAGGGCGTACACCCGACCGGCGCTGTGCTCTGTCTCCATCAGAGCTAACATGTTCTTGGCTGCACACAGACTCGAGAGCTCGACCGGCAATGACTGAACACATGCACACAGACTCAATAGCTCGACCGGCAATGAATGAACACACGCCAGATTAGTCAAGGCTCGGCCCAGCTGGCCCAGTCCACCGCCAGGTGTCGGAGGACCATGAACACAGCTGGGGAGCTCGCTAGGACCTTCGTTTGGACTTCTCGAAGTCCTGTTGTTCCTGCGACCGGCGGGCCAGGGTCATTCGACGGCCGAGCATCGTCGTTGTCGGGGTTCTCGGGGTAGGCAGGCCGACATGCGACCGGCATCTTGGAGAGGAAGTGCTGCAGCAGCTGCCGCTCGACTGCAGGGGGCAACAGAAAATTCAGAACACCACTTTACTAGTTCACTTAACACTTAAACTTGTGACCGACAGACCCTCCGACACTCATGTGACTTTGTCAGAATCCGAGCCTTCCGGGGAAAGTGGCGGGAACGACCGGCTTTCATGTGCTGCGTCGGCCTGAATGTTGCGCGGCGCGCGACGTTCCCATGGCCAGGGGCGACCGGCATCACCTTTGGCACCTTTTCCGCCATCACCGCCTTTGGCGCCTTTTCCGCCATCCCCACGACCGGCAGCAGGTTCGCCTTTTCCGCCATCACCACGACCGGCAGCAGGTTCGCCTTTTCCGCCTTTCTGCCCGGCTTTGCCTCCGTCTCCGTCACCTGTTCGACCGGCATGTGAGGGCCCGGACGAAGAGGAGCTGCGACCGCCGGGAAGGGGGTCATTGGGGTAGCACCCCATCCTGGCGGCGGTCCTTTCGACCTTCTGTGAAGCCCCCACCCTCGGCTCTCTGACCGGCACCTTGGCGGAGTCGAAGCTGTCGATGGTGGCAACGCTGCGCAACGAGGCTGTCTCTAGACCGGCGTGAGGATCAAAGTACTCAGGACCGGCAGCTTCATCATCAGCCTCGGCTCCTCGACATCAGCCCAGCCCCCCAACAACAAACCCCAGCAGCAAACAGGCACAACCAGGCAAGTCAAAACAATAGCTAGACCTGCCTCGGCCTTCTCGGATGGGGTTCAAAAGCCGGGAAGGCGTCGTCGCTCCTCAGGGTCGTCTTTGGCCCCCCAGACTTAGCAACAGACTCGGCTCGGTCCAGCCTATATTAAGACTCCACTTTGCCACCTGCCTCTACTTCTTGGCGGCCTTCCAAGAGTCTGGGTCTGACCGGCACCTGTGCATGAAACATATCAGACACAAATTGTATGCTTGAACCGGCGTGGCAACGCCTTCTTCAGGCGTAGCAGGCTCTCGAGGCGTGGCAGGATGGACCGGCTGAGCAACTCCTGCAGGGTCAATCATGTCAAGGTCGTGTGTGATGGCGTGGCAACACCTTCAGGCGTGGCAGGCTCTCGAGGCGTGGCAGGATGGACCGGCTGAGCAACTCCTGCAGGGTCAATCATGTCAAGGTCGTGTGTGATGGTTTGGAGGATGGGACCTTGCGGATCTGGAGTCCAGGTCCCTGGAGGAGTGAAGGAGAACGGCGTCGATGCTGGAGTCGGGTGCTCTGTAGGCCCAGTAATGACCGGCTGGCCTCGGCCGCAGAATCATAGCAGCTAAACTCTTCTCTCAACAATCAAACGAACCCACCTCGACCGTCCGTGGGCAGAGTCATGATCGTCCGCAGGAGGTATGATGCTCAAGTACCCACTTCATGTTTCGAAACATTGCTGGAGACATTCATGACCGTCGTGCTTTTGCTTCGCTGTGACTGTGACTGTGAGACATGTCCTTACATGCCGTGGACACATGCTCGGTACTGTTGAGCCTTGTTGCGGCAGAAGATCGGTACTAGCCAGCCGAGAACTTGCCGACCGACCAGTGGACACGTGTGCTGCAGAGCCCGGCCTCCTGGGCCTCATCCAGGCCCACGGCACGGCTGTCTGCAAACCTCCAGCAGCAAGACAACAGAACTCTTCTGCCGCTTAATGCTACAATGGCCTGGTCAAGGAAGGCCACGACAAGCGACCGACCTCACTTGTGTGACTACATGGGCTGGAATCCTGGAATCTGCACTTGTTCACGACGTCCAAGGGCAAGGCAAACATGGCCAAAGGAGGAAGCACACTGTCCTCGCAGGTGAAGCAATGCAATCCCAACTCAGCAACCTACTATGTTTGTCAGGATGCAGTACATAATACGCGAGCTCGTCTTTTTCAGATGACCGGCCCGGATCACTGAAATCCTTCCTCGAGGCGGCGAGGAAATTCCTCAGCGCCTAGAGGAGGGACCTGAGTGCATCCTGGAAACCAGTTCAGTCGACCGGCCCACCACTCACTACCGCTGTGGGCGGCCAGGTGTTGGAGGAATATTGGCAGGGCCAAAGCTTTGTGGATGACCGACCGGCCGCTGGAGCTGCACAGGGACCGTCATGGGAGGCTGCTGCTGCGCAGGGACCGTCATGGGAGGCTGCTGCTGCGCACTGACCGGCCGAGGCTGCTGCTGCTGCGCAGGGGTCATCATGGGAGGCTGCTGCTGCGCACTGACCGGCCGAGGCTGCTGCTGCTGCTGCTGCGCAGGGGCCATCATGGGAGGCTGCTGCTGCGCACTGACCGGCCGAGGCTGCTGCTGCTGCACAGCGGCTGGATTGGGCCTTGCAGGACTGAACGGCTGCGCCGGACCGGCGGGACGTTGAGCACCAGGCAGTGGACTGGTGGAACGTTGAGCAGCGACTCCTTGATGACGGGCAGGTGGCTCAACCTTGGACTTCGTATATGACCGACGGAAGCATTACAAATGACACCTCACACAGACAAGTGGCACCAGGACCGCCAGTCAGTCGACTCTCCACATTCTCTGCCTGCCACATCGGCGACCGACCATATGCCTTGGGCCAAGTGGCACAGCACCGACCGTTATCAATTCCAAGTTCACCCAATGCCCAACACAGCTGACACTATGATAGCTGCTGTGAAAGGTACTGCCTCCTTCCAATGAAAGCTGATCTGTTTCCATGCGACCATCTGATCCTGCAACGACTCCTGCTTCTTGAGCAGGTCTGAGATCTCGGTTGTTCTCGACCGGCCAATCATACAAACAGGTCTTCAGGTCAAGGATAATCAGTCAGTCAACCAACTAAATAATAAATCAGCCGAAGATCTGAATGGGCCATCTGCACTGTTCCAGAAGCATCGACCGGCGGCTGAGGCTGAGGAATAGGCGTAAGCGGAGGGACCGACGGGAAGGGCAATGGCAAAGGTGGCAACGGCGGAAGTGGAGGCGGAAGGAGAGGCGGCAGTGACGACGCCGGGCGGACCGGCGGCATAGAAGGCATAGAAGGCATAAAGCCGCCATGGCCACGTCGTTCCTGCACAAATCAACATCTTGACACACACAACATAAGATATACACAGCTGAACTGCACCCGAACTGCACCTGACCTGCACCTGAACAGCACCAATGTATACAATCTCGAAACCTGAACTGCACCTGAACTGCACCTGAACTGCACCTCAACTGCACCTGATGACAACATGTGGTATTGCAAGCCAAGCCTCGCCATCATCGACCGGCTTCGTGGTTTTCCTGTTATTCTTCTTCTCGAAGCAAAACTCCATGAAGGTCCGCTTCTTCTGCTGGGACCGGCTCTTAGTTGCACAGACACGACACAGTCTGTCAGTCAGCTGGAATCGACCGACAAGCTAGTTTAGCCAAGCGACATTGGGGTCAGGCGTCTGGAACTTGCTGCCTTTCTTTTTGACCGGCTGATCAGCACTGCCACTTGCAGGCTCAGCGACCGGCTGATCAGCAGCACTGCCACTTGCAGGCTCAGCCGGCTCAACATCCGCCTTGCCGACCGACTCGGTATCGCCCTCCTCAGACACCTCAGTCAGGAGCTCTGCGACCGCCTCGGCTGATCTCTTCTTCTTCTCCTCCCTGACCTGTTTCCTGGATTTTTTTGCGACCGTCTTCTCGTCCTTGGCCTCCTTGTCACCCTTCTTGTCCTTCTTGTGCCTGTCGACCGTCTTCTTGTCCCTGGCCTTGGCGTCGCCCTTCTTGTCCTTCTTCTGCCTATCCTCTTCATCGGCATCTGCCATGGCGACCAACACGTGAATGGAGGGCACTACTGTTTATAATGTGAAACACAACACACACTTCAATGCTGACCGACGTTATTTTCATGTCGCCTGGCTGCCAACCATGTGTTCAGCACACTTGACAGAAGTGGCTGGTGACCGGCAATTGCGAGTAAAGCTGCGGAGCACTTCACTTGCAAAGCACAGAGTCCTGAGCCGGTACGTTGTCGACGACCGGCGCATCACGAGATGCGAGATGCTCCCTCCAGCACCTGAAGGACATAAAGCCGACAGTCACAAACTTGAAAGCATCTTTGTGCTCAGCTCCTGCACCGACCGGCAACTCGGCCAGAAAAAATCACTGAACCTGGGCGAGAATATGCACGAGCTAGCATCCCGAACTAGGGCCAAGGATGACCTCAGGTCCCAGCGTCGACAGGCAATAAAAGCACCGAGGAATGCTGCTCCCAGATGTGATCGAACTGACTGAAACAGTCAGCTCGATCAAATCTGGGAGTAGCACGGCCAGCACCAGGAAAGAAGGATGCCTTGAATCGATGTATGCTTCAAATATAATCATGACTCCAAAGCTCAGCCCCCAGCTCACCTCCCGGACCGGCGAAGGCCTGCCCAAGCTTACATCTGGAACTCACCGGCCAACCTATTACCTTAGGCCCCAGCATCGACCGGCTAGGCGATGAGAAGCGCCTGCAAGACTAAGAGAGGTCAGGAGTCACACAACTGGGTGACTCGAAACCTCAGCCCCCAGCAGTCAATGTCCTCCTCCAGCAACGAGCCCTGCACGAGCTTACATCTGGTATCTGGAATGTGAAGAAGGGACAACCTATGACTTAGGGCCAAGCTTGGACCGGCAGGCAGAAGACGACAAAATGGGCCTGTGTCTGTCTGTGCATCATCGGCTCGACTGACCGGCTGCCCCCAAAATCTCAGAGCCACACAGACAAACCGTGCTCGATTGATGGTGGCCTGGGCGAGCAGAGCTTTCTGTCTTGCGGCTGCACATTGCAACTGAGGGTCCAGCAAGCCACCCTCGTCGCGACCGACAAGACACGTGACCAACCATAGGTCAGGCCTCAGGCGGTGGTTTGCAGACGTGAAGTCGACCGGCAAAAATCCGCGTCCTGCAGGCCCTGCACAAACACACCGGGACCGAAGTCGACCGGCAAGCGATGTGACACAGGGCGCCATGGACCCGGGTCCCACAGCTAGCCCCGTGTCCTGCCTGAGTGCCGGGACCTAAGTCGACCGGCGAGCTCAGGAGTGCACCGGGACCGAAGTCGACCGGCAAGCGATGTGACACAGGGCGCCGTGGACCGGGGTCCCGCAGCTAGCCCTGTGTCGTGCCTGAGCGCCGGGACCGAAGTCGACCGGCGAGCTCAGGAGTGCACCGGAACCGAAGTTGACCGGCAAGCGATGTGACACAGGGCGCCATGGACCGGGGTCCCACAGCTAGCCCTGTGTCGTGCCTGAGCGCCGGGACCGAAGTCGACCGGCGAGCTCAGGAGTGCACCGGGACCGAAGTCGACCGGCAAGCGATGTGGCACAAAGCACTGCGGACGGGAGTCACACAGCGAGCTCTGTGCCATGCCTGAGTACCGGGACCGAAGTCGACCGGCGAGCTCAGG